CAAAAAAAAGAAACTAGAATTCTAGAATTCTAGGTTTTTGGGGGAAGATGGATTTTATATGCCAGTACAAGTTGTACTCGTACTTGCGCACCCCTCGCAGCTACAGAAAAACTTTCTTCCGTCTATTTTCGAAATGATATTGTGTAGGTGAAACGTTATTTATATTCAAACTCAAATTCAGTAGCAGATGAGGTGCTGATGAATTTATTTCGAAAACTTTACCTTCCTCAATAATCAATGCAAGTGTGCTGCTTGCGTTGATTGTTTCATGCAGCACAGAAACAAAAGTTTATTGCATCTCTGTTTTTTTTCTTTGTAAGTTACATAAAATGTAACGAAAATGAAAGAGAAACAAAGAAGAATTCCATAGTAACAACTTGAAGGCGATGCTGCTTTTAATGTATGCATGCTAGTAATTGCGTGAAACTTACTGGCAGAAAGAAATGTATAGAAGAATGCAATGAAGTCTCTTGAAAAAGGTGCATTATTATGTTTGTTCGATTCTCATCAAGACACAGAATTTCTTCGAAAATACTGAGGGTGTGGGTATGGGTGTGAGTGTCTTCTTTCAACTAACGACCCACGCTCCTATTTATTTTGTTTTGGTTTACTTGTTCAGTTTTTTCTGTGTTTTCAAAACAATATGATCAATTTATCTTTCTATTAAAAAATTTAGTTTACTTTAAAACTTCTGATTTCTCCTTGTTTTGAAAAAAGTTCATATAATTGTGTTTCATCTAATTCATCCCCGAAATTTTTTATGAATACATTGGTGAATTTGCACGGGCTATCTGGACGTGAATCACATGACTGGAAACGAGCAACATATACTTTTTTATAAACTAAGAACGTACCATTCATTTTATTAATAGCCGTATCTGCTGCTTCTTGTGTTTCGAAATGAATGAAACCAAAGCCACACGATTCACCACTTTCATTTCTCATGATCTTTGAACGAAGCAGCAGAGAAAAAAAAACCAATAGAAATTAATTTATTGTTATACATTGAGAATTTTACNACGTTGAGACCACATGATGCGTGATGGACGACCACTAATTAAACCAAAGTTCATTGTATCAAGTGCACGTTTAGCTAAAACGATAATATTTAGTTATTGACAGATGTCATTTATCAATCCGAATCCTATTGAATTTAGGTCATCTTCTACGACAAAAGAAATTAAAAGGATAATAACTATTGTCTTACCATGAATTGGCTCTTCAAAATTGACATAATCAATACAAATTATATATGAGCAAGCTTATCGAAAGAGGATTCTGCTGAGAATGAAGAATACGTATAGGAACGAATATAATAAATTATTACATATTTTTCAACTATAACTTATTTAATCTGACACTATTTAATGCATCCTATATTTTTATGAAAATATTGCGTATAAAATAAGAAAGATGCTTTTCATTCTTGATGGAAAATCTATTTGTCATTCATTTTTTTCATATCATATCAAAATTGAAAAATGAAAACCTTTTTCATGCATGCATTTTATCTTCGAATACAAATTTTATGTATGTGGATGTGCGGCTTCTATAGCGCCCTACTTTTAATCTTACAGAGACTTGATATCTTTTCATTGCAATGGAAGAAAAGTATATATGTGCCGTAAAATGTATAGAAGCACTTTTTTTATTTGCAGTCTATTTTGCACTTCCCTCGAAAAAGTGGAATGCACATCCTGCACTCTATTATAACCTTTTTCACTTTGTTTTAAATTTAAATTTATATTGGTTGTTTCATCTTTACAATCGATTTTCTTATTCATTATGGTCTTAGATTCAAGCAAATAGTCTTTGCTTATTCTAATTTCAGATAATGAATAAAGAGCAGTCATCCAAACAGTTTCTCAAGCAACGATTTTAGAAAAGTTTTAAATCAATCAAGCAGATCATCACTTGATCAATGAATAGGAAATTCAACAAACAGTAACAACCAAATGACGTAGTGATTTCACTTGAAAAATGCGTATTACTTGAAGAAAACGTTAACGAGATCGAAATCAAAACTATTGATGCTAATTCATCACTATGATCGATCGTATCTCCAAGAATTTTGACAGATCGAAATAACATTATTTTAATACGTATGGAAACAATTAAATTACTGAATCTTGTAATTTATTTACGATTTTTATTTGTGTTTCTTTTATTTTATTTGTAAATTTCCTGACTAAATTATGATGTACATATTGTTTTTGATTGTTATTTATATCCCATGTCGCACAAACCGATCGAAAACCGTCGGTTAACCGTGGTCAATTTTTATAAAAATCGGTTAACCGCGGTTCTTTAAGTCATTTTAGCGACTTTACAGCGTAAAAACCAACGGTTAACCGCGGTTAACCTCCCAGTTAACCGGACAAGTCATCGGTTATGTCGCGAGCTGGCGGTTATTTTTCCGGTTAACTGGGAGGTTAACCGTTGGTTTTTAAGCTTTAAAGTCGCTAAAATGGCTTAAAGAACCGCGGTTAACCGATTTTAATAAAAATTGACCGCGATTAACCGACAGTTTTCGATCGGTTTGTGCGACATGGGATGTATACATTCACATAGAAGTCTAGAGTATGAAATATGACATATTATTTGTTTTTTCTTTTTTCTAGATACATTTATATATTTGCACTTTGGTTCTTGAAACGGAGTGCAACGTATGATTTGACTTGCTGAAAAATAGTGCAGGAACTCACTACTTCGAATTCTCATTCAGAACGTTGATCTTAACCAAGGTTTAGCGGTACATATTAACATAATAATAATTTTGTTCAGCACCCAGGTCGAGCAATCCGACAGTAGGCACCTGTCGGAACCCATCCGATCCGACTGGAATCCAATAGGATTTTATCGGATCTTGCCAGATCTTACAGAATTATCGTTGGATCCCGGGTCGAGGAATCGATGTCGGATCCTCAGTGTCGGATTCCTATGAATTCCAAGGAAAAACCGTTGTATGTCATCGGAAGTTCATAGGATTCCGACACTGCGGATCCGACATCGATTCCTCGACCCGGAATCCAATAGAACTGTATCGGATTGTAGGATATTTTCAGGTTCCTATCGGATCCGATGTCGGATCAGTCGATCTGGGCTGTACTACATAGTATTTTAGAAATAGTGTCAAACAATTTCGGATTAACTTGTGATCAAATGATATTCTACTTACAAGAAAAACGACGATCCAATGAATCTTTCCATATAGACATGGATCTAAAATCATATGCTAGATCTCGTGAAAATAGTAAATCATATATTTTAAATGAATTTATTGCAACAGTGGACATGCATTCACTTGATGCACAAGAATCTGTCGTGCTTCAACCAGTATTCGAACAAGTTTGTCGAATCATCAACAAGCAGTAGGAATAATAACTTCTAGGCGATAATCATTTGTTTAACAGCATTTTTTCATTTACACATTCATCTTTTTTTCTTTATATCTTTTTCTGAAGTAAAATATTTGAAGTTGTGTAAAACCTATTTTTGTTTTGATTTCATATGATTTTCATTTAAAATAAATTATTATAGAGAACTTTATCACTTTACTGTTGAACTCAATAAAGGAAAATTAAAATAGATAAAAAAGAATCAGTAGAACATGACAAAAAGCTCATAAAATTTCACCTGAATATATTACTGCATCTGATGGATCACGTTTACAAATTTTCTATTATATGTCAAGTTCAATTTCAGCTTCAAGGTGCTTCATTATGGACAGAATCTGATTTTAAATTAAATCGTATTGATCAATCGTTATGTCTTGTGGGTGTGGGTGTCTTATTTTATTAATCCACACATTCACATCCTATCATTTATATGGCTTAAAAAAACAAGCAACATTTTTTTTTCTTTCAAATACAATTCATCTTAAACTGTAGCGAATAGGACGGCATGCATGAAATTTTTGTTCAAAACACTTTTCTAACGCATTTTCATAGTCAAAAGTGTTATATTTCTATTCATTAAATCGTTATTGCTTATCAATTTTTTAGATGAACTTTTCTTGTTTTCGTTTTTATGAGTCAGTTGGTTCAGTTGTTGCTGGTTTAGCTGCATTAGCTTGCTTGGCTTCATAAGCTTGAAGTACAGCAATAGCTTTTTCAATCTAATACACGACACAAAGAGAATTTCCTTTGAAAAATTTTATCGTACAAAGTAGACCTTAGCTTTAAGCAAATCAGGTGATTTCTGAACATGAAGTTTTGTTTTATCAACTTCGAGAAGTATAGCAGTTATTTTGCCAGATAATTCTTCTTGCATTTGTGGTGTCAAAGGAAATGAATGTTCATCTAATGTTTGTTTTTGCTCTTGTAGTGTTGCATTATTAATAACAGTTGGTGCTAATCGTTCTTGTCCAACAACTACAATTGAATTTGGACATTCAACTGAATTCTAAATATGAATATATATGTATCGCTTTTGCTTTCATTCTTCTTACTTCACAATTTAATACTTACAACATGTGCCATATGTTTTGTGCTTCGAATATCAGTTATTTCTTGTTGTAGTTTTGGATTAGTTTGTGGTCTAACCAACAGACCCACTTGGGATGATATATTTGATGTTTGTAACTGTTGCTTATGCTCCTTAATTAAACGCATACGACGTTCTTGTTTTCGTTCTGCTAATCCAACATAAAGTGTTTTGGAACCCAAAGTGGAACCGTTCATTTCTTCTATAGCTTTTACTGCTTCATCTGGTGTACTAAAGCATACAAAACCAAAACCTTTTGATTCACCATTGCTAGTCATAACCTAAATAATAAAGAAATTATATAATTCTAAAAAATATATAGAAGAACCCTGTGAACTTAATTTAGCACTAGTAATTGTTCCGAACTTAGAAAATTCCTTTTCTAATTGCTCATCATCAATGGTATCATCCAAATTGCTAATGTATAAATTAACACCTTGATATTTATTCGTACTTTCTTGTTTTTTTAACTCTTTTTTACGTTTAATTTCAGATAAGCGTTGATGCTTCTTTTCAAAACGACCAACATAAAGTTGCTTATTACCAATTGAATATCCGTTTAAAGTTTTAACAGCCTATTAATGTAAAAGAATTATTGTTTTACTTATTTTGATTTTTGCTTTACTTGCTCAGCTTCTTCTGCTGTTTCAAAACAGCAAAAACCAAAACCTTTTGAATTTCCATGTTCGTCACGTTCAACCTATTTGAATATTAAAATGATCAATTGATCTTTCTATTAAAAAATTTAGTTTACTTTAAAACTTCTGATTTCTCCTTGTTTTGAAAAAAGTTCATGTAATTGTGTTTCATCTAATTCATCCCCGAAATTTTTTATGAATACATTGGTGAATTTGCACGGGCTATCAGGACGTGAATCACATGACTGGAAACGAGCAACATATATTTTTTTATAAACTAAGAACGTACCATTCATTTTATTAATAGCCATATCTGCTGCTTCTTGTGTTTCGAAATGAATGAAACCAAAGCCACACGATTCACCACTTTCATTTCTCATGATCTTTGAATGAAAGAGCAAAGAAAAAAATCAAATAGGAATTAATTTATTGTTATACATTGATAATTTTACTTTACACGATAAGATATTACCGAAAGTCGAAAAAGCATAATAAAGTAATTTACTATCAATTCTTTTATCCAAATGTTTAATAAATACATTTCCCACACCTGTTTTACGTAGATCTGGAGCACGTTGAGACCACATGATGCGTAATGGGCGACCATACAGTAAATCAAAGTTCATTGTATCAAGTGCACGTTTAGCTAAAACGATAATATTTAGTTATTGACAGATGTCATTTATCAATCCGAATCCTATTGAATTTAGGTCATCTTCTACGACAAAAGAAATTAAAAGGTTAATAACTATTGCCTTACCATGAATTGGCTCTTCAAAATTGACATAAGCATAGTTAAGTGATCGTCGTGTGATCATATCACGACAGACTCGAATGGAAAGAATTGGCCCGATAGTTGAAAATTTTTGCAATAGCATTGTTGCGGTAACATTGGAATGAAGATCACCTTTTATTATTTTGCAAGATATATAAAATAATAATAACAGTATTCAAACTTACCAACATATAATGAGGCTTCTGGATGGCTTAAAATTTTAGCTGAAACAGCGGATGTTGCCATAGGTTGTCTTCTTTGTGTGAAACTGTTTTCGAAAAGGATGTTACACTATTTAAGTTTGCAAGAAAGAAAATTTTCAGAGATTTGCTGTACTTGTTTTTCGCTGATAGGAAACTGCGCGCACGCAACTACAAGTATTTTCTATCGACGCGAAAGAAGAAAAACATTTGATGAATAACTATAAAGAAGCACGTGATAGTGTAGGATGCGTGTCATCATCAATGTTTGTCACAGGTGGCGCTAAAATACGATAGGTGAAAATCTTTCGCAAATATCTGTCTTATTTAGAAGAACTGTCATGATGGCATTGTCCAGTTACAAAGGCAAATTAGATTTGAATAACCCAAGTCGAACATTCCGGCCTCAGGTTCCAGTCGGACCCGGTCGGGATCCATGCGCTTCCAACCACTTTCCCGCCGGTTCCGACACCTTTTCCACAAGAACCACCGGAAAACACTAGGAACATGGAAGCAGTATTCCGGGCCGTAAATCCTCGTATCGGAAACGTTGCTTATATGCCCGTATCCGGACAACGGAATCACAGAATAAACACCCAAGTTCCCACCGTAACTTATCAGAAAACTTCCGGAAGCTGCCCGGATCCTGCACGTATCCGACCGTAAATCCTGCGGAATTACTCGAATCTAAGTCTACTCGGTGGAGATCCATTTGAGATTCCGGCCATAAGCTGCGCAGTTCCGAGATTTTACGCCTTATTTCCGCCAGGTTCCAAAATTTTCCACACGGGAACTGTCTGACACGAACTGAAAACAATCAGCTCGAAAATTCTGGGTGTGGATATTCACGACACCCAGATAAACATTTACACTCACACAATAAATCGAACCCAAATTCGAAACAAGCCACACCCACACATCCAAATAAATGAAGTATTCCAGCTGTTAAAAGTAAGAAAACAACATTTTTAGTTTCATGTAATACTGTTTGGAATATCATTTTTGAAGATAGCCGCTACGAAATTTCCTCTGTCGATTCAAGAACTTTCGAATAAAAGACTTTGTAACAATCTTTTCAAACAAAATTTTACCAATGCTACAGTATCTAGGATGTGGGTATCCTTTATTCAGTAGCACCCCCACCCCCACTTCTATATGAGATTATTCCTTTCGAGTTATTTCAAGTAACCGATGCATTTCTCTGTTGCTGAAATGTTTTCATCTTTATTAGGTGACGAAACTTTATGAATATAGGGTAAACTTAAAGTTTGTTTTTATTCTATGCCATTGAAATAGCCACATCATCAGTAAGATTGATTTCGAACTAACATTTTTTCATGTATCACGTTAGTGCAGACCACGCAAGCGTTGGCAACCGATGGCTTAAAATTTCTATCCATAAAGACATACTGAACCTTTAGTCTTCGTTTAATAGAGACAGTCTATCAGATTCAAAATGTATTGATCCGAAGCCAATTCGAAGAAAGTCGTGTATATAATGGTACGTTTTCCATGGATTAACCCAATTCAAAAATGACTTTATTTTATTCCATCATTTGACATCAGCAGAGACACATAATAGTTGATATCTGATGCAATTCAATTAAAAGGAATCGAAGTGTATTTATTTCGTCTTTATTTTAGATTATTGGTTGAAGTACCAGAACGTATCATAATTTTTTTATAAATATCGTTATCTATTTGGGTAACGAAGAAAAAAAGTCTTAAAGAGTTTCCAACAAATTTCACTTAAAAAAATGAAGGCCAACCGTCGCACAGGCTTTTATCAAATGCCTATCCTCTGTATACTCATATCTGTAGCAAATTTGGTTTAATCGCTGAAAATAATTTCAGGAGTAGACATCACGAAAAGAATAAGTATAGATCATGTTTAAGGGGCTCACCCCGCCTCTCAAGAATCGCTTTTCGTTATTCGTGGACCGATTTGTCTGACATTTTTAGGCAATATGGGTGTTATGTTAACTCAATTTCTTGCAAATTTTTGGCTCATAAATTTTTTGCTTTAAAGAGTTATTGACAAATTAGTTCCCAAAATGGTGGTTCTGGTAAGGTACCGATTTCTCGAACTGCCAAAGACGTAGAGAGCTACTTTTTTTTAAATAAAAGAAGAAACCTATGTCTAGAAATGTATGTAGCGTTTTTCCGAAACTCGATTTTTTTCGAACTTCCGAGACATTTTACTACAAGAACTCGGAATTTAGTGCTTTTGACATCAGTGTTATCCAGTTATCTCGGCAAAAAAATCGCATTTCAAAAAAATGCTACATACAATTCTAGATATAGGTTTCTTCTTTTATTTAAAAAAAAAGTAGCTCGCTAGCTCTTATACAGTCTGAGAAATCGGTTCCGAACTCTCCAAAAAAGTGATTTTGAGAAAACCAATCAACAAGTTGTACGAAACAATTTTCCATTTCACTATGACTATCACAACCTCTATACTGCAATTTCGTCATATATACAGGATTTTAAGTAGAAATGACTACGTTCCACTAATTAATTAATATAACAGAACGCATATCTGTCCCTCATTAGATAAAATCTACCAGCTTGTGGACCAATATCACATCCCCGTAACTAAGAAAAAATTCTGAAAAAAAACCTTATATTTCTACTACTGCTCCCAGAAAACCGCTATTTTCACCACCAAAAACCATTCAAACTGTAATGAATCGCGCATAATTTGAAAGTGAACACTTTGGGCTCTCAGTATATGTGCTTATCTGGAAATCGATTTTCTGAAGGGGGGGAGGGCTTAATCGTTTCAGCTTTATTATCTGGCTCTAAAAAAATGAATTAATTATGACAATTGACGTCAATGGTATAATCAAAATCTGAATTTTTCCAATTTCTAAACAGTACCATTGATGCATTTCATTTGCTGGAGTTACCTAGCAACAACCACGATCAAATAGAATTTAACGTTTGACAATGAATTATTTAAAACATTCCATATTTTATTTCAATTGGCGTAATTTATTTTTGCTCTTATCAATGATTTTTAACATATCATCATGTTTTCTTTTTTTTCCAGACGAATCATCGCTACTCGTTTGAAGTTAAAGAGTGAAAAAATATAACACGTCTAGTGCTCAACGTAGCCTTTTTAATACGATTGCTGCTGAAAGTGTTCATGTAAACAGAAAGAGATCTCTCTCTATATTAACTTGAACAATAATTTTCGTATTTAGTTAGCACTATGGTCATCTATTATGAGTGTTGGTAGTGGCCTAGGTGAAATTTTTATTAATCATGATGCTCGTATGCATATTGATGGTGAACATGCAATACCACAATTGATTGCAGCACATAAACGATCGAAATATTTAACAAATTTATTGCTAATAATAAGTGGGGTTTCAGGCGCATTAACTTATCAACAAACAAAAGATAATTATTGGCTTATTGGCTCGGGTTTAATGTTTGGTAAGTTCATCAAGAATATCAAAACATTTTTTTTTCGTTGAAAAATAAATTTTCTAATTTTTTGTAGCTGGAATTCCATATTGTGTATTGCTTGAATATCCAGTTACTGAACAACTTAAATTTTTAACACTTGATGCTAAGTCAGAAAAAACAAAAACATTATTGGCTGCATGGGGTAATATTCAACTTGGTAAATTAGCATTAGCCTTTGGTGGAGCAACAATCTTTTATTGGTTTGCTCGTCGCTGAGATAAATGATTGAAAAAAAATCATTGTACAACAATATTTTGTGTTTGTTTTTAAATATTTTTATTTATTCGTGTTAGTTGAAATCTTTAATTAAATTCAAGTCATACGATTCTGATCGTTTTAATCTCAATAATGAAAATAGAAATTAAGACAAAAAGAATATTAATGAAATAACAAAGATGTTTGAGTCAAGATGTGTATCTCTAGTTTTAAATGAATAAGAGAATTTCGAATTGAATTTTACAATTTGGTTCATTTTTAAAGCTAAAGAAACTCTATGTCAAAGCTGACTCGCTTTCAAATACTTGTCAACTTATTTGTGATTCAGCCCGGCGATAAATCAATTGAACAAAATTTTATGTTCTAGATAGAGAAACTGAATGACTGAGCAAATTCTTCTTGGAATTCGTGACTTTCTTCAACCTTATGTATCGTTATTAAATAGTCATAACGTTGATTATTTAACTTGTAACCATTGGAATACTTATGTACCTGAATGGATTCGTCAAGAAGACACAGTTGATCTTTATGATTTATTTGAAAAACGTTATAATGAAAAGTCACCGGCAAAGAATTTATTAGAAGAACTTATTGATCAAATAGTTGACTGGAAAAGAAAAATTGAGCAAATCACATACACACGTGAACAATTTGAAGAACAAATTTTACCAGAAAAATATGAAAATGAACTAACATCATTGAAAAATAAAACGCGAACATTTATGAGTCCAAAAAAAGAACATGAAGTAGAAATTTTAGCTCCGATTATTGATCAATTAGCTAATATGGTTAATGTTGATTCGGTAAAAATAAATATTTTATGTTTATAATTCTATATGTTATCTTCCATTTCTCAAGATAATTGACTATGGAAGTGGCCGTGGCTATTTAGGTGTAAAAATATCTTACGATTATGAAAGAAATGTTCTTGGTATTGAATCAAGTGAAGAAATATTACATAGTGGTGAAAAACGCATAGAAACGTTATCTAAATATCAAAAAGAACTATACGATAATATAAAATATAAGACAACATCAACTATTGTTAATAGTGAAACTAATTTCGAAAAATTATTCTCTGAAACATTTGATAGTTATTCATCATCATTTCTTCTTTGTAGTCTTCACGCATGTGGATCGTTATCTTGTTCACTTTTAAATCATTTTGTTGAAAATTTATCTGTACGTGCCATCGCTAATGTTGCGTGTTGTTATCATTTATTGGAAGAAAAATTTGTTGCAAATCCATTTACAAGTATGAGTATGAACTTAATAATTAAAATAGAAATCTTTTTCCTTTAGATTATTGTGCTGAAAATGATCCGTGCAGTTTTCCATTGAGCCATCGATTAATTCAAGAGAAAACAAAATTAGGTAGAAATGCTAGAATGCTTGCTGTTCAATCGTTCGAAAGAAATAAAGCAGACCAAGTGTGATTGATAAAATCTTCGTAAAAGCGATTTTCTGCTTTTCTTTCTAATAGACATTAAATGCTGGCTTATGGTATCGAGCATTAATGCAAGTACTTCTTGTTGAAATCTATGGATTAACAACTGGCTTACAAGATATTAAATTAGGAAAATTGACAAAAAAGTCCATGACATTTGAAGAATACGTATGGAAAGCAGTGGACAAATTAAAATTAGATAAAACAAAAGTAAATTCTATTTCATATACAGTGAAGTTCTCATCATAGTAGAAGATTTCATTTCATACAACTGTGTAGGACTTCGCTCTAGAATCAATGAAAATTTACGTTGTTTTGTATTTGACTAGATAACTGTGAATGTAATTAATAACTATTGGATACGTTATGAATCATGTCGTCATCAACTTCATACATTTATTCAACTGAAAGTTTTATTTTCTGGATTGATTGAAATGATGATTTTACTCGATCGACTTGTTTTTCTTGAAGAATCTGTTTGTTTTACTTTGGTTTGATTATCTCAATTATCTATATTGTTGTCTTTCACAGGTACCGACTGCATCATCATATTTAGTGGCATTGTTTGATCCGATCAAATCACCACGACGTTGGTGTTTAGCTTCATTAAAATAAATAGATATTTAAAACGAGATTATCTAATATGTTTTTTTTTTATGTTAATATTATTTTTTCAGATGGGTACGCCACAACGTGATGTAAAAGTAAATTATTCTGAAGTACAAAAGGATTTATTAATTGAACAACATTGCGCATTTTTAATTGGTTATGGTCGTTCACATAATACATACGAATATGGTGCAACTGATTATCTGCGTATGAGTGGCATTTATTGGCTTTGCACCTGTCTTGATTTACTTCATTCATTAAAATTAATTGATCAAGAGCATATTATTGATTATATACAAAAATGTTACGATAAAAATTCTGGTGGTTACTCCCCGTGTCCAAACCATGATCCACATTTATTATATACATTGTCAGCAGTGCAATTACTTGTTCAATTAAATCGAACGGATTTGATTGATAAACAAAGTTTATGTTCATATATAAAACAATTACAACAAGACGACGGAAGTTTTATCGGTGATCAATGGGGCGAAATTGATACACGTTTTTCATTTTGTGCTGTTGCCTGTTTGAAATTAATTGATTCATTGGATACGATTGATATCGATCGTGCTACAAACTTTATTATGAGTTGCTTAAATTTTGATGGTGGCTTTGGTTGTATACCTGGAGCAGAATCACATGCCGGACAAATATACTGTTGTTTAGGATTTTTATCACTCGTTCAGCGTCTTGACAATCTTGATTTATCAACAAGAAATATGTTAGCATGGTGGCTATGTGAACGGCAATTAGATAAATCAGGTGGACTCAACGGTCGGCCAGAAAAATTGCCAGATGTTTGTTATTCATGGTGGGTGTTAGCATCATTGAAAATTCTCGGAAAAATTCAATGGATCAATAGAGAAAAATTAAGTAAATTTATTTTAGCTTCACAAGATGATGAAACAGGTGGCTGTTCTGATCGTCCAGGAAATGTACCTGATCCATTTCATACATTATTTGGTATAGCTGGACTGTCATTATTAAATACATATGATGAAAATATTATTAGAAAAGTCAATCCTGTTTTATGTATGCCAGAATATATTATTCAAAAACTGGAAATAAAAATGCAACTATTATAAACTTTCATTTTTACTTTGATGATTTTTTAAGCTATGAAAAAATAAATCGAGATATTTAACCTCAAAGTTATATGTACGGGTACTCCTCTGAAAAAATCTACTTTCCAAGGGGGGAAAGGCGAATTCCTGGGACTTCGCATCCGATGTGAATTGCGGGAATCCCATAGAATCCAATGAAAGTTCCAGGAATATTTGATGTAGATGTCTAAAAAACACTGAAATTATAACTCATGCTCACGCACAACGAATATCACTTCATTCATTTAATACTTTGGAACCCATTCTCTTCAGAGAACTATGCAAAGATATAGAATATGTGAGAAGTCTCAAGCGCTTTGCACAATGGCGCTCATGTCGATTGACTGAAGAGAGAATCGGACTACAATTTTAAATTCAGCATAAAATGTATAGTTACAATTAAACCAAGGATCTAGCTCAGAAGACGAATTTGCGAACTTTTCATCTTATCCAATGATTAGTAAGTCGTACTTTCGCGGTCGGTACTATTCTTCCTGTCCTGACTAATAATCATCTACGAGTTAATATCAATACAAAAAGAAAATATATAAATAACTGTCGACTCTTTACCAAATCATACGAATGATATACTAACCGATTAGCTTATATTAGTTTACTACACAGTTCATTTAATAAAATAGACACGGTTAATGAGGAAACGAAACACGTTAGTTCTAATCGATGTTACTTTGTTTTTTACTGTCCTTTCATGGGCAAAGGTGAACTCTGTTTTATTTCCTGTTCAAATCCAGCAAGTTAAACGTTTCATTAAAACGTCCAAAAATATCACAAAGGACGAGAAACAGACTGCTTCGAAACAATCAGCATAAAAGTTATCGCATGATCTGCTCCTTTATGATAATTTAAAAAAGACTATTTGTCAAGTTAATCATCTAGCCTATAATATTTTTTCCGTATTATATTCAATACAACAAACCAGATCAGTTGTACGAGTCTAGCGTGAAAAAAATCCGTATCATCTAACATGACAACAATCATTGGAATTCATTCGAACAAGAGTTCAGCTACTACATTAAATCTAACGTTGCTTTTTTTTATCCAAATCAGAGAAATATAGCTGATCCTCGGACAAAATTTATAATTCATCTCCTTTGTCAAGCAGCGATAAACCGTAATTTCATACAATAAGAGCCTCCGAGCCGATTTCTCCTTCACTCTCGAAGTATTTTTCTCTTATCTCAAAATTGATGTCAAAGCAATATAGTCATAGATAGACAACGTTTTGTCTTTTAGTAGACAGGAAGGCTGTGCTGCTACCTGATTGACTTAAACATGTTCCACTGTCAGATTACCGAATGAATAAAAGTTTACACACAAGTAGCTAAAGATTCATTTGAGTCGACATATTTCTTATATCTCATTAATTTATCTTCTTTTTTGCTGCTGTTTGCTATTCTATCTCGGTCATTTTTCTTTAAAAATTTAAAAATAGAATGTCGTGCTGTCAAAATGGAGTTGATACTCATCTAATTAGGTTAAGTGTCTAGAATTTTAAAAATAGATAGCCCTAGTGAACTACATTGGAATATACAAATGAAATACATCAGCATCTAAAGCAAGCATATCATGCGCTGTGGACAAATCTTGATGTCTATACAGGTTCAGCATACGAAAAAAAGTTCACCTTGAAAATGATTTTCCTCGTTAGTTTAATGCAGCTTTTCTAGGCACGTGATAAAGTAGTGAAGCCTTGACACTGAGTTCTATGAGATTTTCAAGACTGGAGTGAGAATCATAGAAATTAAATATGAATTTCTGAAGTGTCACTTGTTATTATAAAAATTCAGAGCATCCCATGGGAATCCTGAATCCACCTTTTCCCCTTGAAAATTGCTCAGTTTGAAATTTTTTTTAAACTTGGAGCGAAGACAATAGTGTACACTCTCAGACAGTGCTCCGGATGAGGAGTGCACCAAGCACTTATAATTTTCGATTTGGACTTTGCTATTCTATGCTAATAGACAAGTCTAGAGTACGAAACATAGACTACTATTCATTTTTTTTTAGGTCCCGATTTATATCAGCACTCCGATTGTCGAAACAAATAGTACGTCTATATTTTATCTTTCTTTCATGTACTTTTATGGACAATGGATAGCTATATAAAGATAGCATTTCAATTTATATGTGCACAAAACAAAGCGAATGAAACTAATCAGTTGTACATTAAATAGTTTTTTTTCTCAGTACTATTGATCTATTTTTGTTTTGTTTAATAGTGATGTGACCCTCTGCTGTTGATATCTAGCGTTCTTTTGATTGGTGAAACATTTTCATCAATCAGATGATAGCATTCGTTGAAGTAATATTCGAACACGAGTAATAAGTTTATTTCATTTTTATATTTTCTCATAGAAATGGATTTTATTCTAATCCTCGCTTGTGTGCTTCTTATTGTCTTTATTGGAGCTTTGTTTTATGCGAAAAAACGTCAATCAGGTTTGAATATAGTTTCAATTTTATTAGTTCGAACTTTATTTTATTTATTTCAACATAGGACAACAAGAAAATCCTGAACCTGCTCCACTTCAACGACGACCAGGCCCCATTGATGGTGATCGACCAAGAGCAGCACAAATTCGTCGTCGTAGACAATTTAACCCAACGCATGGATATGAAGCTGGAAGACAAAACAACGACGATGAGGAAGATGGTACATAATCAATGCTTTCATAGATGGAATTCTACTGTCTTCCTTTGTTTAGCTGATTTCGATCCTACAACGATGAATGATATTGTCGAACCCGATTCTAAAATTGGTACGAAAAAACGGGCAAAACTCGAAGCCAAAGCTGAAAAGAAACAACAACGTGAAGTAATTGAATAGAATTTCGAAATAAAATCGATATCGTGTTTGACTTTATAGCAAGAAGTAATTGAACGTCAAGAAAGAAAAGAACGCGATGAAAAATTAGCTGAAGAACGACGTAAAAAGGAGTTAGAAGAAGAACAACTTGAAAAAGAACAAGTAATATTGAACTAGATTGTCTATTTTTAGGAATTTATTCTTGTTTCTTTTTTATTTTAGGAAGAAGAAGAGCGTCGAAAAAAAGAGGAACGTGAACGAAAAGAATATGAAGAGTATCTTGAATTAAAAAAAGGATTTACTATTGAAGAAGAAGGACATGATCAAAATCCAGATGATATTGATGTAACTATTCGTTTGGCTACTTTCTCATTCATACGTTCTAATTTAGAATGAATCAGCACTAAATCAATTTGTTGAATATATTAAAACAGCTAAATTTATGTATCTTGATGAATTAGCTGCACAATTCAAACTCCGAACTCAAGTAAGATATTCTAAACTATTTGATAGAACTCAATCGATAGCCATAGTGAATTGCATATGAATTTTGTATACTGACGAACGATTTTAGGATGTAATTGATCGATTAAAATATCTACAAGAAAATGGCACAATCACTGGTTTATTCGATGATCGAGGCAAATATATTTATTTAACACGTGACGAAATGGAACATGTAACAAAAGCAATTCGTCAACGTGGTCGAATATCATTTAGCGATTTATCAAAAATAAGTAATGAACTTATTGATTTCAGTGGAACGCGAACAGTTAATGATAAATTATTAGAAACTGACGATGCAGCAAATTAATAAAGGAATCGTTTTCCTATCATTCTATTCGCGTATATATATATATTTATTTTAAAGGAAAATGATTGTGTATGACCTTGATATCTAAAGAAGAAGATAAAATTTAATTGTTCATGTTGTTGTTTCTGTTTTAAATGTATTCATCTATCTATTCTAGACGAAATTCAGAAAGTCGAGATAATCGAAATGAATAAAATACGAGGAAAATTTACTATAGAAACGTTTGATGTTCGATTATTTTCTAAAAATCCGATTTCGCCCTGTTTGTTTACCAGCATATAGACTCAACAGACCATTAAATCCAAGGTTCCTTGTAAGATATATACATATACTCTCGTCATGAAAACGTATACTTCACCTTATCATAATTTATATTGTATATGATGTCGTCAATCGAGCTATAAAATTTGATCTAATCGAAGTAGAATTTCGAATGAATAACGATTGAAACATAAACTATCAGTAGAAAATATTTTTTCGTCAATCAAGATGTTTTGAATGACTTAGTTCAATTTAATTAATGCGAAAGTGCAGATTCACCTTGTGCATCGCAAACAAGGACGAACGCAAGAGAGAGAAAAAGAGACTTGAATAATATTTTGACATGAGTAACGATGATTGTTTGACATTTCAAACAATAGTAAAAATATTTGAGCGTGTGCATTTCTTCCTGCTTCGCACCTCAATTTGCGATATTTTTTCAATCCTTTGAAAATTATCGTTATTTTGTTTCAAAGGTACTAGAAAATTTTATTCAGGTAACGATAGTCATTTTTTACCGAACGAGTTTTCTATAGTAAATAAAATACACAGCATCTCTATGAAATATCTCTTGATTAAAACATAAACAAGTTTAATAATAGCGTGTCTATTCGTCAAGCATGAGTTATTTCTAAACAAGAAAAAAACAATATATATATATATATACGTATATAATATATACTGTGCTTGACAATTCAAACAGTTTTTCAGTAATTATATTAAATTAAGAAAACAAACAAAAGATTCCTTATTGCTCATATTATATAATCAATCGCCATCGTTCCATAAACATAATTAACAGTGCTTTTTCTATAAGACACATTTCATATGAAGGATTAGTACTACTCTAGGTAGTGACTATTTCGCTGGGAAAACGTTCACGTCCAAATATTTTATTTAAAATTTCCATACCAATCGCTCGTACTTTGATACAATCCAGACTGATCGCATGGAATCAAGTATTTATTTTTATTTCTGAGTTTGATTTATTATTTTATCCTATTCATCATAGCTGCAACGGACACCAATGATTCACAATGGATTAATCAAGAAACTGAAGTAGGAAATCACATCAATATATACTAGATGTTTTGATGGTATCTTTTATTTAGAAAATTCATGCAGAAATTCTCTTGGAATTAAACCGTTTCGAAAGTTCATTAAATGAACGTTTTGCTGAGTTTAAACATACTGTAACTGCGCAACAAGAGGAAACTGCCCTGGCCAAGTTAGTTTAATGAAGCATTTTTATTATGTCATCACCATAGAAAGATAAATATTCATATTTCAATTTAGTGCATCAAACCATCAAATAGCAGAATTTCGTGTATTTATTCCTCGAAATTCAGTTTTAACAGATCTATTTAAAATATCACATATTCGAGGTGTAAGAAATGTGTTTGCTGCTATGCTGATTATACTTGTCATACAAGTAACACTAAACGATATTATACAAGAAGGAAGGTATTTCAATAATGATTTATTTGAATGCAAAATGAATTTTTTTCTCTAGAGTTAATTTACATTTTGAAATCATGTTTCAATGTTTCGCTAATTTACATGTTGCACTGTTTATTTGGTTACTTATGATGTTATCTACAACAATTGTTGTTTTTCTGGGATTCTATTTATGGGCAAAACATCGCAATGACTATCATAAAACTTTCAGTGAGTCATTTTTCTATAAAACACACCATCACGCATACATCGAGATTCAGGCTGGCAGTAGGAGTAGAAAATTTGTCCCAATCGAAAAATTCGTAGCGAAGAATGTCCATAGTCACGATGATTCTACTTAAATTAGTGACTCAAACACACTCGAGCACGAACCATAAGTATGAGGAGCAGTTATGTCGTGAGTGAAGATAAACGAGATTTTATTATTTATTATGCATCCTTCATTTAATCACCTGGGTACTGTACCGTCATTTTTAGCTTTTCGTATCTCTTACAGTAGACGGATTTACGAGGATGATTCATCAGTAGAATGTATATTTTTTATTCCATTTTTTACTACGGTAAATTATTACCTGCAGTGGATTCAAGAGAGCGATAAAAATTTGCTTATTCGTATAATTGCATACAATTATGAGCTTCTAATAGCACCCGTGGATTTGCATGTCTCAGTATCATCGAGTTCTTTTTCGAAAATATCTATAGATCTTTCTCATTTTTGGATATTATAGTTCATCAAAGGTTTATCTTGTTTCTTTTTAAGAATTGTATGATAGAATATGGCTAAGTATCTATATAACATATGTGATTTTATTTTTGGTCTTCCCATCTCGTGAAATTACGAAACACAAATTTGGCGGCGCTTCCGCAATAGTTATTCTACTTGAACAAGTAAGATAACCTGTACACTGTTCAAAGACTCGGTTCGTTACGATATTTTGAAAAACTTCTAGCTTCGACAAATAATGAAAGTTCATGCATTTGTTCGTGAAAATGTTCCAAAAGTTCTTTCAGTAGTCGGTCTGTTACGCTGAAGAAACTTACTACTATTGCTAATAATATTCTAATGGCATGATGCAAACGTAAATGCGTGACTAATTTTTGGCTTCAAAAATCTAAACTTTTCCGTTTTTTATTTTAAACATCCTATTTTGTCAATTTAGAAAGAAAAGCAGCAGATAAAAAATTCGTTTGTCCTGACTTTTCACAGTATTTATATTTCTTATTTGCACCGACATTAATCTATCGTGATCAATATCCGCGTAATCCAACAATTCGATGGAACTTCGTTTTACAAATGTTCGGACAAGTCATAGCATCTGTGTTCTATGTTTATTATGTCGTTGTTCGTTTTTGTATACCAACCTTTGAAAGTTTAAACCAAGAAGAAATAACATTATCGATTTTTGTATCAGTTATATTCAATTCGATTATGCCAGGCAGTCTTTTTCTCTTATTAGGTAAGAGACATAAACGTTGGCTTGAGAAATTTCTAGTAACATTAATTCGTCAATAGCTTTTTACGGATTTTTACATTGTTGGTTGAATGCATTTGCAGAAATGCTTCGATTTGCTGATCGAATGTTCTATAAAGTAAAAAAATGTACGTGCACAACAGAAACCGCTTTTCAACATGAATTATAAATTTAGGATTGGTGGAATTCAACGTCGTTCGCTGCTTACTATCGAACATGGAATGTCGTCGTACACGATTGGCTTCATGCATATGTTTATAGAGAAATATATGTTGTAAGATGGTTGTCTTCTTGTTTTTTTGTGAACTTCTAAAGACATCTATTTTATAGCTAACCGGTAGAAAAAATCGTACGGTTCCTGCAATTTGTGTGATACTTTTATCAGCTGCATTTCATGAATATGTTATGGGATTTACGCTTGGCTTTTTCTTTCCGATCATGTTTTTTCTTTTTGGCGTTGTTGGATGTAAGCAAACATTTTTTCGACATTCTGGAGAAAAAGATCTCACATTCACACTCTTGTATTTCAAAAATACTTTAACTCAACAATTCTATTATAGAAGCATAGACAACATAATATGTGATATACTTCAAAGTTTCGATCTAACCTATGACATGCATGTATAGACCGATCAAGGATGAACGGAGAAAATCAAATACCTAAGACATGAATTTTCACTCAAAAACCATTTATTCTATTTCTTTTTTAGTGGTCTTTCTACTTTTTCTGCCACGACATAGAGGTGTAGCATACAATATACTCATGTGGGTGTTACTGCTCATTGGCATGGGTGTTCAATCGAGTTTCTATTTCATGGAAAGTTATGCACGTAAAGAGTGTCCACGAAATGTAAACGTTATTGTTTTTATTTTCGCATAGAAAAATATCTAAATCAATTTCTTATTTTATTCTAGGACACATTTTGGGATGACATAACGCCTCGGTCATTTTCTTGTCGTATTACATTACCATCAAGCGAACATTCGAAAATTGACTTATAATATTTATTTTTCGTATTTTACTTTTGAATAAAAATTAATTTTGATTTAACATATTCATGAGCTATTATTGCGTTTCTTTTTTTCTTAGAAAATTAGCGAAAAAGAAAGGAATCGAACTATGAGAAAGACAATAGTAAAACGATTTTCTATACATCGTCCAGTAAAGGATATAGACAAACGATGAATTATTCCTTCTATTCATTTCAGATGTCTGAAAGTTGGGTTCAAATTCAAGCAGAAGAAGTCGAAGCATTATGTAGTATTTTCGATGAAAAACAATGGAAACGAGATGAAAATTCTAGTAAAAGAACATACACATTAACTATTGATCATCGACCTGAACGCGCAATCAGTATGGAGTTAACATTTGTTGATGGTTATCCAATAGATGAGCCACTTATATATAATCTTAGGTAGAATTCTATGACTACTGTTTTGTTTGCATATGAACACATCATTTATTTCTTTTGTCAAGAGGACCGTGGTTGAGAGGTGAAGAACGGCAAGAATTAATAAATATCTTAGAAAATATTTATCTGTACGATGATCTTTATTGTTTTTATTTTCAACATTGCTGTCGATTTCATTCCAGGGAAAATATTGGCAAGCCCGTAGCATTTTTATGGGCTGATGCTCTTCGAGATTTTGTTGATAGATCATCAAATAGCAATGAAAGTAAGTCGTATTAACGTGAAAAATACACAACATTGAAGTATTTAGCTGTTACTGCACAGCCAATTGAACCGATGGGTAAGTGTGCTAATATTTCATATTCCAATCAAATTCATTGTATGAAAAATAGTTTCACAATGTTCGATATCCGCAGCAACTGCAACTCTACCACCTATCTATAGTGATGAAACATTTGAAGATCGTAAAAGTGTCTTTCAAGCACATCTAAGTCCTGTACATAGTAAAGAAGAAGTTCAACTTGTTCTCAATAAATTAAAAGAAAATAAAAAAATTGCTAATGCTACTCATAATATGTATGCATACAGGTAAAGAGTGTTGTTTGCTTTCAAAATTTTGCTTAATAACAACTGTTTTTTTTATAAATGCAGAATATGGGATGAAAAACGTAATGCAGTATTGGCTGACTGTGACGATGATGGTGAAACAGGTGCTTCTAGTCGAATGCTTCACTTAATGGATGTAAGTTAGTTAGAAATGAAACCAAGATAAATTGACAACAACAGGAAATGATTAGATTGCAGATATTAAAAATGTATTAGTCATTGTCTCACGATGGTTCGGTGGTATACTTTTACATAATGACCGATTTAAACATATTAATAATGCGTGTCGAATGATTTTAGTTAATCATAGTTATATAAAAAAGGTAAGAACAATATTATCTTGTTCAGAAAGACTTCTCAAAAAAATAAACCGTACAAGTCTTTGTTGAAAAGTCTAATCATCAATGAAACTTCCTTTCCTGTTTTACGTTGTTAAAGATCATATTTCTAAATTAGTATGTATGGAGTTTCTCAATTGATCCTATTGTTTTAATAAGGTGTTCAATACAAGCAGGGAGATCACATACGGCTTTGAGTATGCAAAAAAGAACGGAATTTCAAAGACTACATACAATAGGATAGAATTATATTTTCAATCGTTAAGTGGAAAAAGTCAACAAACATGTTTTTTTTTCTTTTTTAGGCTCCCGATGCGATAAAAAACAAATCTCATAAATCACCTTAGTTTCATATTTAGCAATACATTTGATTAAAATATTTTAATAAACAAGAGAAAAAACATAAAAATAATAAACAACAGCTACCTTTTTCCAAATTCAATAAGATATTTTAATATAGTTCGATTGTGTCCACAATAAGCAGCTAAATGTATTGGTAGCCAACCGTATTTATTAATTGAATAAACGGATGCACCATGTTCTAATAATAAATGTACAGCATCTTCTTGATTACGAACAACATAACGATGAAGTAATGTATTATTATCATCGTCAAATCTATCGAAAAGATTATTTTGTACTAATAAAGTTTGTCGTTTAAGTAAGAGGCGAGCTTCATCGAGATTATTTGTATCGAGAAGATACATAAGTCGATTAAAATCACACGAAGATTTGGTCGTCATACAACATCACAAAAAATGAGAACAATATTGATGATGGCGATGATGGATTGGCATTGAATTGAGTGCAAGAGGTCATTCACTTTTCTTCTCTCGCATTTCGAGTTGAAGGTGAAAAGGAAAGAGGAAGAAGAAATAGGATCAACTCTTTTTTTCCTCTTTCTCTCTCTCTCTCTCTTTCTCTTCCTTGACAACATATTGTTCGTCTGTCGATTGTTTCGTGTTCAGTTTAAAATAATCAGATTGATCAGCGATCATAGATGGTAAACAGCGATATAGAATTCTAACACGAAACAAATTCATTTTTCGCACGTGCAACGTTCAGCGATTGTTTGTGACGCGTTTATTAGCACGTGCAAAAGCGAAAAACTTGAATTAATGAAAAATTATTATTATTATTATGAGTCATGCTCTGAGTTCTCTGATGCTTCTCATAGGTGGATCAACTATCATCAATCATGCGATCAAGTGATGGGAAAATTGAGTAATGAATCTTAATTTTAATGGATAGCGGTCGGTACAGGTACACATAAAAGGAAAGCTATTTTTTTAATGATAAGATCATATTTAATTAATTCATTGTTATTTTTCTTTTGAATAGACTTTTGAACATGACAGGATTTTTGCAGTTTCTAATAGAAGTAACTCGCTTTGACTAACTTTTTCGTTTGATAGGAAACTCAAATACTGTTACAATTGTTCATCGAGAACATCGCAGAATAGTTTAGTCTATGGTTTTCATAAAATTTTGAAGCTAATCGATTGTCAGATTACTACTGAGCATATTAGGGTAATGCTATTGAATAGACTCTAAATAAATGTACAAGGTATTTTGTTTTTCTTGACGATGATGATGAACGAACGCTATGTACAGCGGATAGCACATTGGACCAACTAATCCAAAGTCAGCGATATGGCAAAGGACTATCAGAGCTACGACTCCCAACATCAGATTCATTACTTTCTAAATATTATTCAAATTGTAATTTTGATGAGGGCGTTAAAATAATGAAGAAATTACAATGTAATACTTAGTAAAATTGTGTAATTATTACCTTTATGTTAATATTGCACAACTTAGTGCAACACGTAATCTCTATATATAAAAAAAAAAACTTGAGCAACATGCCTACCAAAACTATACATAGTTGTGTACAATGTAATTCATAATGGCATCAGTGTTGATCGAATCTAAAATGAATAACATACCAAGTAAAGAAGCAATTCGTCTTTGCCGTGAAACTGAAGATATAAAAACAATATTAGAATTGACGAATCATGTCGATCCTATTGTCCGACAACGAGCTTTGAAAGAAATATGTCCGTGTCGTGTTAAAGATGATATTGATGTGTTTTGGGAACGTGTGGTCGAAATGACTGATGATCCGGCTGATAATGTTCGAGAACAAGTGAGTGTCTCATTGTCGAATGCTCTCAATAATATCGATTGCTTTTAAGGTGCTGCATACATTATGTGATGGTTCACCAGATCACATGGAAATGAAGGTTTTGGAAGCGCTTGAAAAATTCAATCGAGACTCGAATCCGTATATTCGACGTCGAGCACATAAAGTTCTTTCGGCCTATCGACGATCAGGCAAATGGAATATTTTATAAGAAACATTTAGTCATCAGTGCTTTTTTAATTCATTCAAGTGATTCTTATTAAAGTTTATGACTAGATTTCTAGAACAAAAAAGAAAAGAAATATATATGCCACTCTAAAGATCAAATAAAATTACGATTATCTTGAATTTGGTCGGCAGCAAAAATGTCGAAGCTGACGTGATACTTGCATACATTTGTTTTCTTGATGAAAATGAATCCGCCAGTAGACTCAATCAAAACAAAAGCGTTTATTATTAAAAGAAAAATACTGAAAGACAGCCCGAAAGTTTTTGGGAATGATTGTTGATTCATCTCTAAATAATGTTCTATCTGCTTGATTAAAACTTTTTTCTTACGACAATTAAAGACAAACTTTCAAGGAGTTCACATGCTGTAATGTGATAATTGTTATATCTATCATACAGCGTGTTTATTCGACTTTGTAATGCTGTTGTTCTTGTGTCTTTCGATTTCGATGCACCAGATGGTCATTCAAGTTTATGCCTTCTTTATTCACACTAATGAAATATCAATCATAGATATTGAATCAGAGAGAGTTATCACCTTTATTTCGTTTCTCGAATAATGAATGATTGAAGATTCTTATTCGTATTCTTCTTTGTTCATTTCTTTGTACTGAATGAATAATAGTGTGATAGACGGATGATAAATTTATAATAAGACAAGTCAATACTCGTCGTAAAACAATGGCATCTTCATCACACGCCTTTCCAAACAGTCTTCATTTAAGCTTCCTTTTTTTTACAACAAAGTTTTATTTCAATGTTCATATTTTCGATATTTTTACTTCCCACCAAATTCAAGTTTACCAAAATTGCATGAAAAACTATTTTCTATGCATTTGCATTGACTTATTTTTACCTCAATTGACAGCGCTATTTGTTTCGGTTTGATTAATGCTTTCGACTGCATATCATAAACTTATATCACCTGTCTAAGAATATTCTTTTAGTCTTCGAAAGCACAATCTATGTATAGATGTCCCTAGCTGTCATCTATCGTGTCACTAGACGTACAAGAACTAATTGGTCAACCCATAAAATAATCGGACATGCTTCCGATAGTTGGATACATGTCGGTTATTTATTTCTGTTGGATTGATTCCGGATATTTTGCATGATTCTTACTCACGTTTACGCTAATCTCTGTATCTATTCGTTGTCATATTCACTCATAGTTGAAATAAACGTATTTCATGACTCATCAGGTCACAGAGAGTGTTTCAATTTGACCATTTATTTTAGATCGCAAGCGTTATGCAAGAGGAACGAAATTCGAAAAAAATTGGTCGCATTCTGCTTGGTGTTTTTGGAGGAGTTGGTCTTGGCAAGTTGAATGAATAGAGGAATTATTTTTAACTGTAATAATCTTATCATAAACGCACAGGTCTAACTGTGCTTGCTGTTCCTTTTTTAACACCAGCATTACGACGTCATGCACTTCCTTATGTACCAGCAACTCGCGAACAATTAGATAATATATTCAATTTATTGAAACAATATTCATCCAAACAACGTAAACATCTTGTTGATCTCGGAAGTGGTGATGGACGAATTGTAACATATATGATAAAAACAATCAACGAATCATTTATCTTGGATTTATTTCCTAGGTATTTGAAGCAGCTCAACAAGGTTTTCCACGTGCAACTGGTATTGAACTAAATCGTGTACTGATTTATTATGCTCGTTTAAAAGCATTTTCATCTAATCAAAGCAGTATTTGCCAATTTAAACGAGCAAATCTTTGGAAGGTAAACATGCAAATTTTCTTCTGTTTTCCATTTGTAGAGATTTTTTTTTCTAGCACGACTTATCAAAATATGATACAATTGTTTTATTTGGCGTTGATTCAATGGTAAGAAATCCGTTCTTTATTCCCGACAAAATGAACTCATTCTTTGCCATTCTATATCTAGAGAGAATCTAAAGCACATTTATCAGTGTAGTATACTCACTGTTTCATATATCAAAACTAACTGTTTTCTCGTTAGGCATTTAGATGTAACAGAGAGTAATAGATTCTGACTTTCTTCAAAATATATTTCGTTTTTATCGACACCGTTGAGAAAATAATCTTGCCAAAGTAAGAAAAAAATTTCCAAATAGAGGATTAATCATGTACAAAAATGCTGACCTTTGTATGGTGCAACTTCTTCAAGAAACGAATATTCTATGCATTTTTCTCAAAATAACATCTTGTATCTATATTACCATTGTACAGACTATTAAAAAGTGAGTTGATCTACATTTTTTTTTCAGTATGTGGTTTATCAACAAAAATATATCAATGTTTACTAGATCACCGAGATCAAGTTTAATAGTTTCAAGAGAATACAATTCTAGAAATGAGCCTGTTATTATTGTGAGTACATAAAAAAAACTATTGAAATCGAGTTTTGATCAATGTAAATCGAACCAGTCAGAAGTGTCACAGTGCACCCCACGAATGATAGACGCAAGTCTACTCAAGCAGAAAATAATAGGATAATGCCTTATTTTACGCTTATAAAAACACATTTTTGTGGGCTGCTATTCATTTGACATAAAATCATTCAGGTGAATTAAAAAAGAAGAATCTTGCAAAGGAAAGTATCTTTTTATGAACTTCGATTACAGTTGTCGCGGTATTTTGCGGATAGTTATCAATTTATGAAATGCTAAAAACAAATTTCATGCTCAACACCTCAAACATGCCCATGAGAATGCTTATCTATTAGATAAATATAACAAGGGAAAGTTTCAAATTGTATCTTCTGAAAAGTTCATGAATAAGAAGAACAAGTATCTGTTCTAGTTTTTACGCAAATCATTAAAAGTCTTTGCTTTTCATATTATTGCCGTTCTAGACTAGAGATGTGCAGAATCTTTTATTTAGTGTGCGAGAACTACACTTCTCTCTCATGTGGCTTTAAATCACAACTCCAAAAGAGAAAAACATTACGATCTATAGGAAACTACTGAAGGATTTATTTGTATCGAAGACGTTTTGTCATTTTTATTTACATATTCTGATTAATAGAATTCCTTTGAGAGTGAAGAATATCTAACTATAATCTTAATTCTCTTGTTTTCTTTTTTTTTACAGATGGAATCATTATTAAAAAAATTATCAAAAGAAATTACAGACGAAAGTGTTGTTGTAACATGCCGTTATCAATTTCCAATAAAACACGATCGTACCATTGGCGAAGGAATCGATGCCGTTTGGCTGTATAATTCTCAAACGATTCGAGAACAAAATTTGAAAAATTAGATCAATAGAAAACAAAAAATCTCTTTTCTAGTTCTTAGAATTCTTTCTAATAGGTTTCTTTTGTTAATTTTGTTTTAGATAGAAATTTTTATTCTTTTTAAAACGAAAAAGAAAATAACATATAAAAATCAACAGCAATAAAATCAAGCATGTCATCGTCCAACATCGGTGATGGTAGTCTTAGTGATTACTACCCATCAACAAATCAACCACCGCAAACTGCTATAACAGCGTTCCTAGCTAAACTATGGGCGTTAGTTAATGATCCGTCCTGTGATGATCTTATTGCTTGGGACCCATCGGGTGGCTCGTTTCATGTTTTTGATCAATCCCGTTTTGCACGAGAAATTCTACCTCGTTATTTCAAACATAATAATTTTGCTTCATTTATTCGACAATTAAATATGTATGGTTTTCGTAAAATATCAACTATTGAGCATGGTTCATTGAAAAGTGAACACGATGATATTGAGTTTGCCCATCATAATTTCATACGTGGACATGATACATTATTAGAATTAATTAAACGACGTGCACCTGATAATCAACAAAAAATAACTATACAACCAACTAAAACTGAAATACCAGCAGCAGCATCATCATCGTCGACATCAACATCGCCTTCATCGTCGGCACTTGTATCAGCACATTATGCTGATACGAAATCGACGCGTTCAATTGAATTGTCTCATTTACTTGATGATGTTAGAAACCTACAAACCAAACAAACATCATTGAGCGATAAATTATTTCATATGCAAGATGAAAATCAAGCCTTATGGCGTGAAATGAGTATTTTAAAACAAAAACATTCTAAACAACAACAAATTGTATCAAAGCTAATGGAATTTCTTTTACATTTTCTAACGACTTCTACTCAAACACAACGACCATCTGTTGAACAATCATCAACAGATCAATCTCAGCAACAACAAACACAACATCACAATATCGCCAATCCAAACATGGCAGCCAATAGTCTCAAACGTAAACCCGCCGCTCTGATGCTTAGTGAAGAACCAAACAAACGTGGAAACATACAGCAGCAACAACAACAACAACAACAACAACATATTTTACCGAAGCCAATTAGTATCGAACGACGACCAGGTATAACTATTAATGAGTTAACCGATAGTGATACCGGTGGTTGGATTCTTACAACGGATGCATCACCATTAGTTGATCTTGTACCATCACCACCGCCTCAGTCAACATCTATACAATCTCTCGATGATCATTATCCGCAACACCAAACACCAGGAACAAATTTTGGATGGACCGTTCAAACGAATGAAATTCGTGATCCATTAAATTATTCACAACAAAATAAATCTTATAAAACGATTGGAAACCGAAATAGTGAAAGCAATTCATATATACCGGATTTTTTCTTGAACACAGAAAATAATGATCATGAAGCAAAAACAAATAATGGACAAATAGATGAAGCTAGTTTAACAGGCATCAATCCGGTAAACGTTGATGCAGATTATTTTTTTGATATGATTTGAAATATTAAATCGCCGTTTAAGCTTTCCAGATATTTGTTTTCACTCTCAAATAAATATGATTCTTATTATTAAATTAGATTTTTTGTTTTAACACTAATCTTGAAATCTTCATTTTTCTAAGCCGCAAAATCTTAACTTTAAGTAAATAAAAAACAGTCATTTGATTTGTAAGACATAAATCTTATGAACACAAAATTAATGCGTTTTTTTCTTTTTTCAATTGAACATAAATTTCATATTTAGATTCACTCTCAATAGAATATTTCTATAAATTATCTATAATGCAAGTAATTTTTGTTTTACTAAAAATTATTCTCTCGAGACATAGACTAGCCTATCAAATTTAATGGTTTAATAAGTCTATCGATTATTTATTCTTTTCTAGTCATCCACTCAAACTCTTCCAATGATGAAAGCTGAGCAATTAGATTTTCCGAATTCGCTTCATAAAAAATCATCAACATTAAATTCTTCAATGTATCCTACTAATAATTCACAACAGAAAACTATGCAATTGTCAAAACCACCGGAACCTGTGCCTTTCAGTCTACATGATATCACTGGCGATGTTAATCATATTCAAACGTCTCTCGACAATATACGCGAATTAATGTTCGACAGTTTACCTGATACAACGACAATCGACGATCTATTTTGTGATGATCATGTATTACTTTCTCCCATGTTAGCAAACAATAGTCAAACAACAAATATCTTAACAGACAATACTCAAGATGAAAAATTAAATCATCATTTTTCTTATTCAAACAATAATGGAAATATCGTAACACCAAATTGTAAACAATTAATTCTTCATAAAAGTGAATTTCCAACGAAAATATCTGAAATCGATGTTAACAATCAATTACTCGAACAATTGATAAGCGAAACAGCTATCATTGAAGAGCAACGTCAAACAATAAATCAATTAGAACGTGAAAAGCTTAATCTAGAAGGCAAAATTCATAGATTTGAACAACAACAACAACAACAACAACAACAACAACAGCAACAAACAAATAAAAGAAAATGACAATAGAATTTTTTTTCAATACTGTACAGATACTTTTCTGCAAAAGCATTGCTGTTTTTTTCTTCTTCATCTTTCGCTTATTTATATAAGGCACGAGCCAAAACTGCCACCAACGACTTTCTATTCCCTCCTAGTATAGCAACGAGTTTCTATTAAAAAAAAGAAAAAAAAATATATATATATATATCTGTGTTTATTCTTTCATGATTGAATGAAAGTTTATTATATCTACCGTCATAGCCGGTAATCGTTTGTGTCGTCCCTTCCTTTATCGACAATAAACAACAACAACAACAACAACAACAACAACAACAACAAAGAATATATAACTGAGACAACACGATACCTTTTCTTTCATAACAAAATCTATTTTTATCTGATCGAGCTGGATGTATTACGTCTTAAAATCTAATGAACTTGTTTTAATAGCATAGAAATTTTTCTCATTAAACTCCGGGGCTGGGAATTATCGACTTAAGTACCGATTAGAATATTTTTATTTTCTCCTATGAAAAAAAGGCACTTGAAGTTTCTATTTTTAGGTTTTGATTGCATTGAATCATAGCAGTCAAAATAAAAATATTTTTGTTTCGTATGCATGCAATGCGTTTACATTTTTATAGCACATAGTTGATTGCTTTTTTGTCTTATAATAAAACGAAAAGAAACTACGATAAATACACATATTAACAAGCATTCAAGAGCAAAAATAGACATTTCACTACGTGACATTTCACTGCGAGATTGACAGTTTAGCGTCAATATTAAATTTATTGTCTGTTTTATTTATCTGATATGTAGCGAGCCGAAAGATGATTTGTGAAATTTCTTCATTGAATGAATTTAAAATCAGTTTTCATCAATATCGGCAAAGCTCATTGATTTGAATATAATTGGATTACTAACGAATGATGTTGATGTATTTGGTTCAGAACCAAGTGAAAAAAAACGTCGGAACAATTGAATACCATTTTTATCTGAAGTCGATTTAGGAATATCAATCGGTTTTGTTGAATTTCCTTGAATTTTTTGTTTATGTTTTTCTTCAGCTGCACGACAAACAGTTAAACAATAATTCATCGTAGCCATTTTTATTAAGGATTTTTGACTGAAAGAAGTTAAAAACGATATGCGTTCTCGTAAAATGTATGTGAAAGAAATACAAGAACGTATGATCTATTTATATGCTACGATTCGAGTGCGAAGTACGTAATTTGTTTTCGGTTTTGGTTTAGTAATAAAAAGAAAGACACGCGCATGCAGAGAATGCCTGCATTAGGCATGTTGTTTTTTAAGAGAAAAACATAAGCGTAGCTAATAGGAAAATTTGGCGCTAGTCATGCCTTGTTTCTTCGTCGTAGTTAAAAATAGTTAAAAGCATTATCGGACGAGAAAAAGAGAACAAAGCGGCATGCATGGATTACAGAACGCATACATATATACGTATACATAAAACTAAAGAATGCAAATACATTTTTCTTATTTTTGTTTTACATTACAGCATAAAATTACAATGCCAGTAAAAATACTGCCTCGAAATCATAAATCAAATGCATCGGTCGGCAGGCGACATTCTTAATAGGAGAAAAATGAAAATTTTCCCCATTACCTCTATTGACTTAAGCATTCTTGTGTACATATCTGGAAAAAATAAATTATCTTTTTCTTCTCTAATTGAAATGCATTTCGAGTGTATCGTTATTTGTTCGGTAGAACTTCATTGTCAATAGGGGGAAAATTTAACGTATAATATAAACTGATGAGTTGCCTAAACTATAATAATTGATGATGACTGCCGTCAAGTTTGCTTTTAAATATTACATTATAAATTATATAAAAGTTATTTCTATGAATTGCCTAGTTGTTTACATCCGTTGGAAATGTTTTGGCGCGATTTCTATACAATATAATACTAAACAATTTTCTCTGTTTTAACTTCCTAATTTATTTTATTTGGTGCAAAAATAGCTTTTGAATAGAATACGAATGAGGAAAATAAAAATGCTCAAGTAGCTAAGACGACTTGGGCATCTGCAGTTGATTCCGCCGTTAACGAGGTGTAAAATGAGTTTCAGTGAGTTGATGACACTCATTTTGCCGTTGTCAACATGAATCAAGAAGCGTAATCGGGCTACACTTGACTCTCGTGTTCTTCAATCTAGTCCGAACAATAGCAGACAACATTTCATGATTCTTTTTAGATTTATGTTCAATTTTTTTGTCAAGAATTAATCGTCGAAGCATGACATCGGCTTATTCCAGATATCCGAGTTTCGTTCCTAAGGTTCTATTTCAATTTTGCAGATTTATGCTTTAATTACGATAAAATAATGTGAACATTGTAAATCGGGCACGCAAATACATTTGTAACAAGGAAAATAAATGAAACTAAGGAAGAGTAAGTGAAAGAAAACTGAAAGCATATGCAACAATGCAAAAAGAAAATCATTAGAAAGAGTGGAAAGAAAAGATTGTGATAGTAGATAGAATTCGTCGACTATGTTAAGAGCAAAATGATTGACATCATCTTCTGGTATGCATGCTCGTTGCAGTGTAATCCAAAGAGGAAGCAAAGTTACATCTATTTTTCTTCCCTCCCCAAAAATATGATCCCACTGACTAGACTCATCAGAGATCCTTCGTTCGTCGATCGAATTTGTTGATGCAATTAAATAGGTCATGGCTATGCTTGACATATTTTTCTATTTGATTACTGAATGACTTAACATTTTTTTATCGTAGGATTTTTTCTTCAGATTAAACATATGGCAAGTAATTCACGACGTCGCTTTAGTTTTCTTGATTTTTCTCATCCGCAAGTATGGCATAAATTAGTCGAATATACAGAAGTGACTATTTCTCTTGCTCAACTAAGTTAGTATGGAGCTAATAATTTTATGTTTAAATTATTTCATTGCTATTTAGTTACGGATTTTACCAACCAATGGGCTAGAATATGTCTTGGCACGTCGGCTCAATTGCAACAATTGGTTAATGATTTCCGTAAGAAAACACACAGCGAAGTTCGTGCAAAGTAAACTTTAAAATTTCATCGTAGAAACAGAAGAAAACTTGTTTTGATTTTTTTTGCTTCCTTTAATAAGATGTCAACTAGGTGGAATGATGTATGATATATGGGAATCTTTATTACTTGAATCGGAAATTGAAGCACAAGTAAATAAGAACAAAATCATTTTTTGCACAATGCATCTTTATATTTGCAGTCATTACAAAAGGTAGCACACGTTATGGAACAGCTAATCTACAGAAAATTAGCAACCTGTATAAATAATAAAGCTCTTCAACTATCCATTTATAAAGATAATCGACGTGATCTGGATGAAATATTATCAAAAGGTCATGAGTTCGTCAAAGAAGTATGTGAAATTCTCCTTTACATAAATAGATAAGTAGCTTTTCTTAATCGGATTTTTCTTGTGACTATGTAGTTACAAAATAAATATGCTGCAGTTTATAATACTGCTGGTGTGACAGTCGATGCTGATGTTTTTCATAATGAATATATGCTTGAATTGGTCGGTGTCAACAGTCTCTATTCAAAATATAAATATAATATTCTGCCTGAACTTCTTCAAGTCAGTATTTTTATTTCAATTGAATTGAATAGAATAATTTCTTCTACATTTAAAATTAGGGAATGGAAAAATCACAACTGGAAACAATCGATACAATTTGTCAAAATATTCAAATGATGGCTTCCGTTTTACAAGAATACGTAAGAGGAGAAAAAGTCCGCAACAATCATTTTTGAAATCATTAGAACAGTTATCATTTTTCTTTCTTTCTCTCTCTCTCTGCCTTTTGTAATGATAAGCCTCTCAATTAATTTCATTAACAAATATTAATGAAAATTGTTTGAAATCTGATAAAATAGGAGGTAGTAATATATCATAATTTTTTTCATATCAGATTTCAGGAAGGAAATACATATTTAAAGTATCCTTTTCCAACAAGGTAAAAATGTCTAAGCGTTCCAATAGTTTTGAAGGTCTCGCTAAAATTGATTTTTATTCTGTTTTTGAAATTTTATTTCTTTTTTGAAAATCAAACTGAGTAAATTTTATAATAATTTCTTATTATGATTTTTAACCTTTTGTAGCAAGAATAGCACTTAGATAACATCGAGCAATAGGTTGCACGAAGATCCATCTGTACTCTTTTATTCATTTTCTCATTTATCGAGCAAGCCCTTGTTTGTTTATTTGCATATTTGTCTGTTATATGATGAAGATATTGGTCTGCAAAAGATTTTTTCCCTGTATTAGATGCAAAGTGGTACAGATATTTTGTTGTTGTTCTATGTCATTTGACATATCGTTATTATCTATACAACAATGGGCAATCGTCATTCGGTAGTATCTTGTCCCGTTAAATATGAGAAAAAAACAAAGTTTTTTTTTTCCTAACCACAAAAACTCGTAATATAATAATATAATTTTAATTCTTTTTGTCTAGCACGAACAACGCCAATCAAGTTTTGCTTCGTTTGTTGTAACAAGTCGAATAACAAATGCAAATGAAGAATTAGAAACTTATATTTGTACGATAGACGAGATGAATGATAGTTCAACATCAACACCTGTTCATATACAATTTGAGTCTTTTGTATCGCCGGTAAATAGTAATTCGCACGTTCAAAATTCAGTGTCGAATAATAATAATAATGAACAATTAATCATTTATGCTACACCGGTTATTCAAATGCAATTATCGTCCCATTGTAAAGAAACATTAAATCGTTTGAAAGATATTAAAAAAGAAAAATTGTCATTATTAGCAATTGTTAATCCACAAACATTGAAAATTCCAGTTAAACAACATAACGATCAACAACAGTAAGTTTTTTTTTGGTTCTTCTGTTAATTTCTAAATATAGCAGAAATTTATCTACATAAATATGTTTATATATTTATAGGTCAGACAAGAAAATACTTAGTCAAATCAGCGATTTAATGAAAGGAAAACATCACTTACGTCTCATTGAACTTGAGGAATCAGTATTGCTCGCTCAGGTAATTTATCATCTTGTTTTTCTATCTTAAATATGGAGATGAAAAGAAAAAAATAACGTTAACATAAAGAAATTTCTATGGTATTTCTATTGACATTCTTGTTGAAATGGCGATAGCTACTGAGGTACAACACTATCTACGAATAGAGTTCCATTAGTAAATGAAACAATCATTAAGCATAAGTTTTCTGATATTTATGCGAATTTCGTTTTTGTTTCAAAAAAAGCTAATACGAATGAAATCGATCATTGTCGTGTTAAAAAAGTAATATATATTTATATTGGATTTGTGTTTTTGTAATAATCCAGCTGTCATATGTCTACGTCGATATCGAGATTTTTCTCAAATGTCGCAACGAGTGTTTGAGCGTGAGATGAGCCAATGTTTTGGGTGTGTGTGTGTGTGCGCGCGCGCGGCTGGGAAACAGATCAGCATAAGACTATTGACCGAGACAAAACAACAGCAATGTATACTATATACATAGTAGTAACAAGAGAAAAATATTTCTGCTTCTGCTTCTTCTTCTTCTAAAGTCCATCAGCTTGATTAATCGGCAGTTTCCTCTCATTTATTAGCTTAGCTCATTATTTTTTCCTTTGCTTCTTAATAGCTTATTTACAATACGTTTCCTATTGTCAATTCTTCATAAACCTATGTACGTAGTACTTTGACATTATCTCAATATAAAACATGCATTTGCATAAGAATCATAGCGGGCAGATTACAAAAACCTAGAACAAGCCATTGGTGACAATAAGTTTTATGCTATAGGATTTTCCCTATTGAGTTCTTTATTATTACGAGTCTCATTAAGATGTAAGCATGGTATACAGCTTAGAAAATATTGACGTCAACATGCAGAAACACAAAGAAAAGAAAAGAAACCTATGTTCTCTATTCCGAAAGGACTTTTTTTGAAACAGATGCCTTTTTGGCTTGCTTTGTGTAGCCAATGTTACGAATTATGGCTATATGTGTATGTATTGTTTTCTCTCTAATATATATTTTGGTTGCTTTTGGGTTAGGGTCATTGAAAGATGAGACATCGGGATACTTTTAACATAAACTGCACATTCTCAGTTAGAAATATAGATAAACAAGCACGCCATTGGCATTGAAAGTAGTGGTCATTTATCATAAATTTGACAGTTTAGTAAACTCAAGAAGATAACATTACATGACAGATTCAAAAATAATGGAGAGGTTAAAGGATGTAGTTTTATTCCTCTACTTTATTCATTAATTACTACTTTCTACTTCTCTAAGTTTCTATTTAGAATAATTATAAGTTAATATAAGATAACATCAACGAATCATTTGCTGTTGATATACAAGTCAATGTATGTGTAAAGAGTAAGCAATCAACATGAAAGAAAAAAAAAAGAGTATTTCCCCAAGGAAATGTCTAACGGCTACAGTTTTTTCTCTTAATTTTTTTTTGTTGCTTAGCTTTTACACAGGTTAGACATGAGAAATTGAGTTTCAACAATAAATAGAGGGAAAAAATATTTAGTCCTTTATTATAGCAAATATCAATCGCATTCTTTCATTTCTCTCGTTTCATATATATATATATATGTGTGTGTGTGTGTGTGTATGTCATTCTAGTTCTATAGTTATGTATATAACGCATAGACTTAGAGATTAATAACTTGGAAAAGGAATAAAGGTTGTCCATAAGTAGTATTGTTATTGTATTTTGTTTTTCTTTTGCCTACTTTTTTCGTTTTTAGCAAGATTTGCTCAAATCTCGTCGACGATCGATGAGTAGTAATGCTGATAATGGACACGATGCGCACAAGCGCAGCTCAAAAAACATGAAAGGCCTCTGGCGTGATGCGTTCCGAGCTTTGAAAACTTCGGCATCATCTAGTGGATCTGGAGACAATGAAAATCTTTCGGTAAGTTAAATAAATCTAGAATGAATAATTCTATCTGCATATTCGATTCCCTATCGTTCTCAATTGAATCGTTCGAACGACTAATAAACAAAAAAAAAAAATATGAATTTCCATAATATCCGACAAAATAAAATAAAAAAAGCGCAAAACTAAATTATACCCTATTTCAAATCTTTACTATTTTAGAATTTCTCAAATATTTTCCTGGGAATTTTCTTTCGAATTTTTCATGTCGACCTTTCATTGATGATTTTGGAAAAAAAATTCTCTTTTTTTTCTGTTAATTTTTAACGTTATCTTTGTTCATTTTCACTGTTTCGTTAAATAATAATTTCTCCAAAAAAAAAAGAAGTCTTTTCTCTTGTCGTTGCCGATCTGCTCGTTTCCTGTTGACGTCCTTTATTATTATTTTTTCTTTCCGATCCCGCTTTTTTTCTTCACCACGGAGATTTCATTGTTGCTTTTTATACTTGAGCAAAAGACGTATGAAAGATAGATCATCATAATGACCAGTCAAGAACAAAACAATCAATCTCTTCATGTTCCATCAACTCATTCAGGTCGCATACGTTCACATTCATTAAAGCCACAGCATTCAAGATTAGATTACGCTCGACGCAAATCAGCCGCTGATATATCACAATCGATGATATCATGTTTAGAAGCGACGCGTGATATAGATGAACTTGAAAAATCAACAAGAGCAACGTCACCGTCATGGCTAAAACGACGTTTTACATTATTTTCACTTGAAAAAACCATATTTGAAAAGCGTCGCATGACATCGGATTGTTTGTATAACAGTAATGATAAAGCTACGGTTAACTTATTGAAACAAAAACGCCCGAGTGCTATCGCTCACATGTTAGAGGTAGCATAGATTATTTCATCATATGAAACATGACGCATCTATTTATGTAGTTGATATTAGATTCTAAAGTTTCTTTCTTTCTTTTGTATTTGTAGGCATTCGTACGACGATTATCTTCGCGTAAGAAAAAGCATCATCATGAAGAAGAAGGTAAAGAAAAGAATAATTAATATAAGCCTCTAAAAGGCTTATCGTCTTATTAATTTCTTTTTTTTACGTTTAGACGAAACAATAATTGACCCAGTTTATGAAACATTAAGAATAGCAGCTGAAACGCGCAAAAGAACTATAGCACACTATTTGCAACAACGACAACAATCGCTCAATCAACAAGCATCGCTCAATAGTCAAGGTTCATTAGAGCCTGATACTCAACCGGCGTCACCGAGAGCAACACGTCAAAGTGATATAAACTCATCAGTACGATCAAAACCACCACCGTCAGCGTCAGCATCGTCATCAGGTAGATGAAATTGAATAGTTAACATTTCGTCTCTCATAGAAACTTGTTAACTTTCAATAATGAGAATGGACTAGTAGGCGTGTTCTTTCTTTCTTTCTTTCTTTCTTTCTCTTGAATCTATTATTCTTGCTGTTATCCTGTGTTTTCAGATAATGCACGTATTTCCAATTAATGACACTTGCATCGATTGCTACCTAAACAAATCCTGATTAGACGCGTTTAATTGAGTCGAAAAATTGAAATTAAGGATACTTTCAATGACTTGTATGTATCGGTGTTTATTAAATTATTTTAATTGTATTATAAATAGAGAGTGAATATTATGTTTCCTTCTATTTTTTCCGAGTGTTTTTGTTGTATTTGATGGTATTTTAATGTGTTTATTTTGTTTCTTGGCTCTTCATTCTTTCTTGTATATAAAAAGAAAAGTAGCAACTTCTTTTCTTTGAACAAAACTGAACTTCTTTGATTATCACACTGAAAAATTGACGCCGAGAGACGGATCGTTGGCATAATCTTAAATGAAAGACACGAATAATATTGTTAAGTGGAAGAATTTGCCACAAATATAAATCATGTTATTACTGTCGTCATTTTTGTTGATAAACGATGAAGTTTTCGACGCACTCAGAACTATCGGCATAGATAGCGATCATCGCAGTTTTTTTTACCTAATTATTCGTTAACTCTAACGCTTCTGCATATTCGTTCGATTCCGATATCAAAATAATCAATGACGACACTAAAAAAAATAACAACTCGCTAGTAATGCAATTATCGTTGCTTTTACGTATAAATAGCATAATATTCCTAATCATATTTAGTATAATTTGTAAACAACTATGACAGAGATCACAATCGTTTGTTGATGCGGTATCTAAATAAAATTTCGAGCTATGTTTAGTATCAAGTGACATAATGAAAACAAAATCGAGTTGTTAAACTGATAAGAATTAATGAAACAACTAAATAGATTAATAGAAAAATTTTCTATTCATATCTAAAAATAAAAATTAATCTTCGAATATTTACGGTTTTCTATTGTCACACTAAGGTAAAAATATTTATAATTAAAAAACGAATTCCGGTTTTTGAGTGTCATTCGAAGTTGAGACAAAACATTTGTTATATAAACATACGTATTTATTGAGACAACATAAAATACAAATACTTATTTATTTACAACCATGCCTAGTTATTGTTTAGTGACAATAAAAATGAATATATCATTATTGATATAATGTAATCCTAGTCAGTTTTCATGCTATTTTCAAACACACCTGAAATTCTTATTAATTATTGTATTGATTTATGCTGCGTTGAACAATTTATTGAGCCATAGTATAATTTAATAATAAAGATCATCATTACACGAAATAGATTTCCGAGGACGAATTAACGTGCTTGCCAATAACCTTCAATCGTAGCATACTTTGATGTATCATTGGAGTCAGATTACGATCACCTACAACTTCCGTTTTTACTCAGTGTCTTTCTAGGTACGATCGTATTTCTTTGTGTACAATATGCAGAAATGCAACTCTAATAGTGAGTCATGCAGTGCAATCAGCTCCGATATTATATGTTGAATTTTAGAGCTTCGTTTCATCGTTGCGGGATATTACCTCTTGACGGGCTTCAATCTGCAGACGTCGTTCTTTTTTGTTTTTGTTATTCTAGGCAGCCATTTGTTGTATTCTATAGGCAGAGATGCCATATGGTAGCGATGATACTGACAGATTAGGGTCAATTATCGCCTCTTGATCATATTCTTTGAGTACAGGGAAAGAAGATCAGCTCGACCGAAACAACAGCGCGTTGTTGAGTGACATTTAATTTGATTATGAGAAGCCTATAAATAGACTTGTTGAAGTCAATATTTCACTACTACTGTTGATCAAGTTTTGGAAATTATTTTAAAAAAAATTTTATGGAAAGAAATATAAAGAGAATGATACCCACACGAGTGCATCGAGTTTGAATAACAACATAGAAAATCGCGGTATTATTATTCATAAGTCATATGAGCCATTCCGGGTAAACCACGACCTATTCATGTAGAAATTGCTCAATCGATGGAAACCGATTTGACTCCTTTATGTATGGGTTCGTAGGGGCAAGAGTTTGATGAATTTCTGCGCAAGCCGTTTCAAAAAATAGCGTTTCCTTCCCGAGATATCCGATCTTTTCTGAGAGCACCCTCCGAAAAAGATGACATTTTTTCTAACATTCATATCTATTCATGAGTACATTTGTTTTGATTGAATTTTCTATTATAAGTCGATCTTAGTTTTATATGTTTTTCTTAAAAGAAACAAATTCAAATAGGTGAATCATCTGTTAGTTGGTCGAGGCAACAAAATCTAGGAAAATTTCTAATTTTTTGCGATTTTTTGCATGTAAATAATGGTTGAATAGTTTCTATCAGAAAGCTGAAATTTTGTGCACTGGGAAATTTGATCAAGTACTAACTCTGATAAAATATTCAGCTCTTCAACTAGCTCCTATGGCTCAGGGGATCATCGTCAAAACAGAAACTTTGATCAAAATCACCATTTTCAGGGAGAGATATTATTTATAGCAAAATCAGGTCTGTAGAAATTCTATCATTATGGTTTCAAACTGCATACATAGTACTACAAAGTTTTGCAAAAATTACGATAGGACAAACTAATTATATTGCCGTTCAGAGCCTTATCTGAAGTTGAGTAAAAGAGCTTTATATTTTAAAATAATTTAGCTAACAACATACCGTTTTTTTCCTCATTTTCAGATAAGGCTCTGCTGAGTAATATGCATGGTCCCATCCCAATTTTTGCAGGACTTTGTAGTACTATGTGTATAGTTTGAAACCATAAAGACAGAAATTCTACACATCTGATTTTGCTCTAGATAGCTCTCCCCAAAAATGGTCATTTTGATGAAAATTGCATTTTTGACGAGAGTCACCTCAGTCTTAGAAGTTAGCTACGAAGTTAAAATTTCTATCGGAGTAAGTACTTATCAAGATCTCATTGCAGCCTAAATTTCAGTTCTCTTATATGATTCGTTCCAGCCGATAGGTACACGTACAAAATCGCAACAAGTGAGAAAATCTTCATGAATTTTGTTGTTGCAGTCAACTCTTTCACGATTCAAGCATTTGAGTTCGGTTCTGTTGGGAAATATACATCCACTAGAGGTAGGCTGACATCAAATATTTCAACTTAAATGAAAGAACTTTTGAAGAGGTATTCATATCAGAAAAAGTTTTAAAAAATGCCATTTTTTTAGGAGGGTGCTCTCAGAAAAAAATCGAATATCTCGGGAAGGGAACAATATTCTTTGAAACGGCTTACGCAAAAATTCATCAAACTCTTTCCCCTACAAACGTATACAGAAACAAGTCGAATCGGTTTCTATCGATTGAGCAGGGTCGGTCGTGGCTTACGCAGAATGGTTCATATAGATTTCATTAATATTGATGGCAACCAAAAATGTAAATGAAAATATGAGTATTGCCAACAAACTTGAAGATTCGACATTAATCAAAAAATGCGGAAGACAACATTTACTCCATCTGTAGATTCTCTATCTGATTTGTTCGGTCTTCATAAAATGAATAATACTACTGATTCATTCATACGTACATGTGTTTTTCACAGAAACAAAAAAAACTCAAATAATAATTTTGATATTTTTTCTGTATTCTTATTGCTTCTGTTGAATTTTCTTAACAATTAAATGTTATTATTCAGATAAATTTATTTTGCCCGTCTGATATTAGTACGAAATATTTGAATTTGATGGATACTGAATGTCGTACTGTAACGAGTTTTGTACTCGAACAAAAAAAGAAATATCCTGGTGCAACAGGTGAATTAACGATTCTACTTAATGCATTACTAACAGCTATAAAAGCTTGTGCAGCAGCTGTACGAAAAGCAGGCATTGCTAAATTGTAAGATAGATCAAATTGTCGTGTTCATTTTTAATGTCTCGTCGTCACAGATATGGCTTAGCAGGTTCATCGAATACGACAGGAGACGATCAAAAGAAATTAGATGTTCTTGCGAATGAATTATTTATCAATATGCTTAAATCATCCTATACAGTTTACGTCATGGCATCGGAAGAGAATGAAAATATGATTGAAGTTGAAATATCAAGACAGGTATAGTAAAATATTGATTTTTGCTTTCCATTAAACTTAAAGTTTCGAAATTTTTAGGGCAAATATATTATTTGTTTTGATCCGTTGGATGGTTCATCAAATATTGATTGTCTTGTAACGTAAGTATAAATGAATAGCACATAAATGTAATTTTACATTGAAGTCAGAGGGTACCGGGGGGCGACATGCCACAGTAGTTCTCCATAGATTCTATCTTTGATGTTGATTACATTTATTCTCTTAGCATTGGTTCAATATTTGGTATATGGAAAAAGCCAGACCATGCTACTAATCCAATGGATTGTATATTACAAAGCGGTGAGCATTTACGATGTGCTGGCTATGCTGTTTATGGTTCAGCTTGTATGCTTGTCTTGGCAACACGAGAAGGTGTCAACGGATTTACTCTTGATCCTGTATGAAAGACAAAAAGAACGTTTTTTTCCTACTTCATTTTAATTTTATCAACGAATTTCGTTTTTTGATAGTCGATTGGAGAATTTATTTTAACGGCACCAAACATGCAAATACCTAAGCAAGGTGAAAAAGGTTCACAGAAAATTTATAGTATCAATGAAGGTTATGCTAAATATTGGGATAAGGCAACCACGGAATATGTTCGATCGAAAAAGTTTCCTGAGGTTAGAAAGATTACTTGAGAAAAAATATCAATCTTTGATTATCTTTTCTTTTTGCACATTAGGGTAAAGAAAAACCGTTTGCTAATCGTTACGTTGGTTCGATGGTAGCCGATGTGCATCGAACACTTCTTTACGGTGGCATATTTTTATATCCGGGATCGAAAGAAGCGAAAGATGGCAAAATCCGTTTATTATATGAAAGCATTCCAATGGCATATATTGTCGAAAAAGCAGGTGGCGCATCGTCTGATGGTCAGCATTCCATTCTTACAATTCAGCCAAAATGCATTCATCAACGTTCACCAGTTTTTCTTGGTCAACAAGAAGAAATTGAAAAGATCGAGCAATTTTATCAGCAATATCCTCCTGGTACATGGGCTCATGAATGAAAATCTCATACATTCCTTTAGACTTCTTGTAGTTCCGTATTTAATTCTAGTCATTTGATATTGTCTTTTATGCTTTCACTTTGAAAGATCTCGTTCACGGAAATATTCTGATGTATTCGTCTAGTCATTGTATTTTAGATGTCGAATGAAAACGTAGCCCAACGTCTTTACCTTGGCATTGATTTGAGTACACAACAAATCAAATGCATAGTAATCGATGAACAATTACAAACGATTGCAGAAGAAGCAATTAGTTTTAATGATAAATCATTACTTGTTCATCATGTTCAACCGAATGGTTTTGTTGTCGATAAAAATGATAAACGCTGTATAACAACACCAGTATTCGTGTTTCTTGAAGCACTTGGTAAACATTTAAGAGCTATCATATTTCGAAAAGTGGAATTTTATGGTTCTAGATGTTGCGTTACAAAAGTTAAGTGATCAAAAGAAATTTGATTTTTCAAATATTGTTGGCATATCAGGTAGATCGGTAGGCGTTTGTTTCATTTCGATAACCATTGATTTTTATTGGTTAAGGATGTGGACAACAACACGGCAGTGTTTATTGGAAAACGAACACTGAATTAGGAAGTTTAAAAGCAGATACTAATAGAGAACAATCGTTGTCTCTTGTTAACATGTTAAAATCATCATTTTCGCGTATTGACTGTCCCATATGGATGGATTCATCAACCACCAATGAATGTCAATCCATTGAAAAATCAGTTGGTGGTTCACAAAATCTTTTTCAAATAACTGGCTCGAAAGCGTACGAACGATTTACTGGCAGTCAAATTATGAAAGTAGCGAATAAAACACCGGAAATCTATGAACAAACAGAGCGTATTCAGTTAATAAGCAATTTTGTTACTAGTATTTTACTCGGGGAATACGCTCCTATTGATCTATCGGATGGTTCAGGCATGAATTTACTTGATATTCGTCAATGCAAATGGTCAAACGCATGCTTAGATATATGCGGCAAAGATTTAGAAAGAAAACTATCGGAAAAACTTGTTCATCCGAGAACAGCACTCGGAAATGTCGCAAACTATTTTGTTGAACGTTATGGTTTTAATAGTCAATGCCAAATTGTATCATTCACAGGAGATAATCCATCATCGTATTATGCATTAGCATCGGATCCAAAAACAATAGTTATCAGCTTAGGTAAATTTGTGTAATCCGTTCATTATGGGTTTGAGCAATAGTAGGAGATAATGGGTGTCAATTGTAATTAGTTAATAGGCAATTTTTATTTGAATAAGTCGAATTCGATCACTACACAGGACTATTCATTGGGAGATTTTCTAGTATTCATCTAAGCTCGAAGATACTGTATTCTCGCGTTAAACATTGATGAAAAATTTACTTAAAGTGAATTCACATAGCTGAACTGAAGATCTGTTTAGGTACAAGTGATACGGTTATGGGTGCGATTTCAGCCAATGAAATGCCAAAACAAGCATTGGATGGCCATCTACTTGTTAATCCACTAGCAAATGATCGAGAAAATACTCTTTTGATGCTGCTTCTGTGTTTTAAAAATGGTTCACTTGTACGAGAACGTATGTAATCGGAACTGTTTGTCGTTACTTTCTTAAAATAAGGCTGTAAAATATTTTCTTTAGGTGTACGTGAAGAAACCGGATCGAAAGATTGGCATGAAATGAGTGTCTTACTCAGTCAAACTACACCTTCAAATCAGGGTTTCATTGGATTTTTCTACGATGATCATGAAATTTTACCGCAAAATATTCAGGGAAGATTTTACTTCAATGCAGATAATCAGAAAGTTGAAAATCTTGAAGCTGCAACCAAAGCAAGAGCTGTACTTGAAGGGCAATGTCTTGCTAAACGACTTTATTTACAACGTGCTAATATTGATCTAACGAAAAATGTCGATCGAATTGTAATCACTGGTAAGAGTATTTTTGTTTTTATGAAATACTCAAACGATTTACATTTTTGCTAGGTGGTGCATCTGTGAATGTCGATTTGGTGCAGATTTTAGCTGATATCTTTGGTAAACCAGTTTATGCTGCAGTAGCGCCTAATTCTGGTGCTCTTGGCGGTGCTTTGCGAGCTGTTGATGTTATTACAGAAAAGTCGAATTCAACAACTTCATCTGTTGAATGTCTTATTGCTGCTCAACCGCGCAGCCAATACACAGCGGTATATGACGAAATGCTTCTTCGTTATACTAAGCTCGAAGAAAAAATCATTCAAGACGCAAAATAATTATGCATTTTACGCGCAGGCAGCTGATTTCTTTTTTATTCAGTTTGATTCTAGATTTTTTGATGTAGTAATTCAGTGCAATTATCTTTAACATAACTCGCACAACTATGTACGATTGTTCTAGATGAAAAAATTCTTTTTATATTCGACTACATAATGGCTGCACGCAACGAAGTAAAACCATTGCCTAATTTACCCAACTATGTATTTGGTGAAAAATTAGGCGCTGGATCATATGGTAAACGAAACTTTGATAATACTCGATTTCTATTATATTTATCTTTACTTCTAGGCACTGTATACAAAGCAAAACTGATAACGGTATGTCTACTTCGTTAGAGGATGATAAAATTCAGATTCCTAACAGCTCGTTTATTTTGGAAATAGAAAAAGCCTAAAAATAAATCGATTGTGTTACGCTTCATTTTCTATTTACCACTTTAGACTTCTCAGTCTCAAGTGAATTCAGCTGCATGTGCTCGTACAAATTTCTATGCCATTAAGTGTATCAATCGTAAATCGCTGACGAAATCTACTCAAGATTTACTCATCAATGAAATAAAATTACTTAAACTTATCAAACACGAAAATATTGTTGAAATGTACGATTTTCAGGTAGGCCATCGTATTTGCTCGTGCTAATATTAAATAAACTTTTGTTTTTCGTTTCAAAGTGGGACGAAAATTATATTTATATTGTAATGGAATATTGCGCTGGAGGTGATATGTCAATGTTTATACGTTCTAGACAGCAACTATCTGAAGCTCGCGCACGACCATTTGTACAACAGATTGGTAAGAATATGTAAGTGTTGCAAATAAATATCCATTCATGTTTGTTTTTGTATGTTTTATTCCTTCAAAGCTCGTGTATTGAAATTTCTTTATGAAAAACGAATTAGTCATATGGATTTAAAACCTGAAAATATTCTTTTAACATCGACTGATAGGCCCATATTAAAAGTAGCGGGTATGCTTAGACCGGTATGTTTTACTGAAATAATCAATTTTTTTTTATAGATTTCGGCGTAGCACAACACATAGGCAAACGGGGTAGTCGAAGTATTCGAGGAACGTTACTCTACATGGCTCCGGAAATACTTTCTTCTAATCCATATGATAATCGCGTCGATCTTTGGTCAATAGGAATTATACTATATGGTAAATTTGACTAGCAGAAAAGGGAAACATAACAATATTTTGATGTTAATAGAATGTCTTTTTGGTCGACCGCCGTTTGTTTTTTCATGTGTTGATGAACTCGTAGAAGAAATTAAATCAAGCATTCCAATTGAAGCAAGAGAATATATTTTTGAGATGATTTAGTTTTGTAGAAAATAAAATTTGGTTTCATTTTAAAATAGATTCCCAATGATGCTCGAATCTCATCCGAATGTCGTAATTTGCTTGAAGGTCTATTACAACGAGATCCAAATAGGCGAATTAGTTTTAGAGATTTTTTTCGGCATCCATTCATTTTTGTTGATTTATCATCTCAAATTGCTCGGGCAGTAAGTATTCTTAACTTTTTTTGCTCGTTAAATTAAATATATTTCAATTTCTACAATAGGATGATTTGTTTCAAAGATCAATTAACGCTGAGCAATCAGGTGACCTTAAAAAAGCTCTTGAATATCGAGTGCGAGCATTGGATGAATATGTGGCTATTATTAAAAGTGAATATACCTTTTTTGTTCTTGTAGAAAATAGTTTCACGTAGAAAAATGTAGTCAATTTCATAGTTTGAATTAAAACAAATTCTCTTCTTAATAGTTGATGAAGATCATGATCGAAAACGAATATTAAGAGCAAGAGTAAAAGAAGGTCTGATTGCCGCTGAATCTCTTAAAAAACGATTGCTCACAAAAAATCGTAATGCTGGATCGGCGCCAACAACAACTTCGTCTTCAACTGAAAATCGTAAACTGTTTTTCTTCATTTTTTTATGATAAATTTCTTATTTCAATGGGTTATTTGTTTTTAACAGTTAATTTAAATGACAATAAAGAACTTTCTGCCGCTTATCAACGTTGTTTAAATGGAAATCAATTTGTAAGCATAGGAAATTTGATTTTCTCTGTTAAATAAAAACCGATTTCTTTTTTTTGCTTCTTTTATCATAGATGAATGCATCTAGATTTACTCAAGCTTGTGATGAATATCAAATCGGTTTGACTGTGATGCTTCGTGCTGCTCGAAGTAAGCTGTTTGATTGCTATCTTTTACGTGATTAATACTTTCTTTTTCACTATGTGCAGCTGAAACGGATCCTGCCAAGAGCAAAATCCTGCATAATATGGTAAATAGCATTTTTTTGATACGATCAAAAAAGCAGTTCTATTTTCATTTAGATTTCATTCTATCTGAATAAAGCTGAACTATGTAAAAATAAAAATGAAGCTCAACAATTAGACATTGATATGGAAAATATTAAAGAAGACAGTGCGCTTGATAGTACCATGTTAAATGAATCTAATGTCGATACAGAAAAAAAACAACGATCGAATGGACAACAAAATTGTCGTCTACAGTGAAGAATTTCATTTTTATTATTATTATATAAACATGAAAATAAATAAACAGTTCTGATGAAAGCAAATGATTTGCAGCATATTGTGAGATTAACCGAAAGAGTATGGTGATGCAATCTTTATTTCATAGCTCAACGAGCGTGTGGGTGTTGGATTTTCCATGTAGCAGTTTCCTTAAGATAGTTCATGACAAAGAAGAAGAAGAATCATATTCGGTCATAATACTTAGCGCAGAAATACGGCATAGTATACGGTACCATATTTTTGCTCCCGAAAATACGAATAAATCTATCTATCAACCTGGAAAGGTCTAAATTGATGAAACAATAATACACTAGTAAAATAGCGTGATCGTAGTTTTTAAATGCATCTTTATAAAAAATGACATAAAATTTGTTTTCGCTCATCTATTAAATCGATCTAATTGCTAGATAAACCAAAATACGTGTTTATATATAGCGAAGAGGAGAGAGATTCCTACAGTCAATCACGAAAATCATGTACTAATAATAAAAGCTTTCTGTCGGTCGATTGATCTGCATATTCATATGTAGTAGGTTCATCAAAGTTGGGCGTTGTTTAAACGATGTAATATCTCTCTGGTGTGTGGTTATTGTACTAAAAGAATCAGTCCTGAGTTTTCACTGTTTAATTAAAATTGTTGATGTTAGCAAGAAAGGCACGACAAAACAATATCTATGTATAATAGTCTTTGTTGATTAGTGAAATATGAGCGGTAATAGTACATTTCGATCCCATCCATATCGTTCAAATTCGCGTCGCTTTGCATAAATGAATCATAGTTGTTTGATTTCAGGACATTTTTCTACATCTACCTTTGATCTTGTTTTGGTAAAGATAAATAAGCGTAGAACGTCATCATAGCGTCATGTGCGTATATAAAACATCGACGAGATAGATACACACAATATCTATATCAGCAAACAAAAATGACAACAGACAAATCTGACACACCTTTTGCAGTACCTCAAGCGTATTCCACTGCGCAACCAAATGATTCAGCAGCTGATGCATATGGAATCTCATCTGATGGTCCTGCTCAGCCACCATCTTTTCAGAATGAAACGAAAGCAAGTTCAACTCTTGCCGATCAAACAAAATCTCATAGTTGTGGCCTGTTTTGTTTAGACTGTTTACGTTGTTGTGCGGCTACTTTAGAATGTTTATATTGTTGTTGTGTGTTCGTGGAATGTTTGAACGTATGCAAATGAAGAAAAAATTCAAAATATCTATTAAAGATCAATGACATGGATATGCAAATGGTTTCAACATTATTGTTGTCATAGTGATCGAAGTGCGCCACTTTCTTTTTGCATTGGCTTGTGATATTAAAATTGCTTTCCTTCATAACTTGTAAATCCCCAATAGACTGTGGGAGTGCATAGAATAGGAGCCATGTTCACTCATTTTTTGAATTATCATGTCTAGTCCTTTGGCGGTTATTTATTTGATAGAAGTAAAATAAAATATACAATAACAATCTGACTATTCGAAAGA